AGTCTAAACAGGAGTCGATTTGATGAAGTTTTTTTTTAAATTTAAAGGCACATGGCTATTTTGTAATTTTNTGAAAAATTCAATTTCACTGAAACATGACTTGTTTGGGCTTATTTTGAAGCTAAAACTTTGACTTTAACTATCTAGGTTCCTAGGCTAGATACAAAAAAAATAGTTAACATGTAAAATGTGTAAAATACAATTTCACACATTTTACTAGTCGACAATTTTTTTATATCTATCGCAATAACCGAGATAATTCAGTTGAAAGAAAAAGGGTACTACGGTACAAAGGAGAGAGCATGGTGAACGTCTAGCTAAACCTCAATTTCCTGGGTTCCTAAAACAGATACAAGACAATTGTCAACAAGTAAAATGTGCGAAATGGGATTTTGCACTTTTTTTAGTTGACAACTTTTTGATAACTATTACAGGAAATGAGATAAAGATTCGGAGTGAAGTGGTATTTCTGTAGCAGAGAAGAGCAAAGTTACCGCGCAGCTAAACCTCAATTATCTGAGTTCCCATTATCGTTACAAAAACTATCAACTAGTAAAGTGTGTAAAATCCAATTTCACACATTTTACTAGTGGACAATTTGTTGATATCTATTACAGAAGCTGAGATAAAGATGCGGAATGAAAAGGTACTACTGTAGCTAAGCCAGTAGCGATGAAACCTGATGAGTCTCAATAAGATTCTGAACCCATCACTCTTTAAAAATCCGAAAATCCATTGATAGGGAACCTCCTTATAAGTCCTGAAAATTCTGAACCCATAATTCCTGAAAGATCCGGGCAGTTATCGCCACTTTGACCATAATTATCTAGATTGGTAAAATAGATACAAGAAAACTGTCAACTAGTAAAATGTGTGAAATTTAGTTTTATAAATTTTCTTAGTTGATAGCTTTTTGATATCTATCACAACAGCCAAGATAATCATGTTCAAAAAAGTGGTACTACGGTAGCTAAGCCAATAGCAAGGAAACCATAGTTTTTCATTAAAATTCTGGACTCATGATCCGGAAAAAAGGAGAAAATCAACAAATTAACTAAAACTACACAAATAGAATAGATACACATTTTGTTCTTGAGAGGTGGGTGATAAAATGTGTTTTGGGTGAGAAGAGAGAAGGGGAAAAGGTGTCACGTGTCGAGCGAAATGGGAGGAGGAGGACAAGAATTGGTTGACACCACGAGGTAGATCTTTGGGGTCTCTCCAACTATTTTTTTTTGTTGTTTTTCGAAACGATAGGTTGGAGAGAGATTGGAGACATGTTTTTTGGAAAAAAATAACTAGAAAGGACAGGAAACGGGGAATCCTAGGGGCAGAAAGCTAGAAATCTAGAGAAGTACAGTCAGAAAATCTTGTCACCGAGTTGAAAACTTTGCCAGTTTACAATATTTTGGAAAATTTTTAAATTTCTGTATACTTAACGTTTTTAGCTTTAAATGAGCCTAAACACGACATAGTTTGGTGACAATTGAATTTTTCAAAATCTCAAAATTGTCCATGGGCCTTTAAATTCAAAAACTCAAAGCTAACAAAACTGGGTCGTGTTTAGACTCATTTTGAAGCTAAAAATGTGAAAAAACAGAAAAATATAGTTGGAAATTTCTCCAATCCCAAGTTTTCGACTAATGGTCAAATTACTAAAAAAAAATAATTTTTTGAAAATGTTTTAACTTTGCCAGTTTACAATATTTTTGGCATTTCAATGAGTTTTTATGTTGTTTTTTGAATTTATCCCTTTGAGAGTTTCAAAATGAGTATAAACATGACCTACTTTCCTTGATTTTCAAATTTTGGACCCCAGGTGCCTTTAAAAGGTTAATTTTCAAATTCAAAGGAACATAGTCGTGTTTATACTCATTTTGAAACTCTTGAAGCGGTAAATTCAAACTTTAAAGTTTTATCAAAAAATATTGAAAAATGCACACGTTGTGATCAAATCAATATGCTGAAAAACAGGGCCCCTAACTTCTAACTTTGAGCTCGAATAACTCAGTTCGTTTGAGAGATATCAAAATTTTGTCGCCTGATAAAATATTTATCATATTACCAAAAGCGTTTTATCAGTTGACAAATTTTTGATATCTCATACAGGAACTGAGATAATTGAGCTCAAACTTGGGACTCTTCTATTACAGGCTTTACGGTATTCATAGGAATTGACTTCCTGGAAACTTCTAGACCATATTCAAAGAATTATGTTCTCTGTCATAGCCACCTATTGATTCCTATCTCCCACCCAATCCTAATTAAACGGAACAGACACTAGGCGGTCGGGATGTTATCTACAACTCAAATCTTATCCATCTCGTTTTGTTGGTCACAGAAATTTGGAATTGCAAGGGAAAAGGAGGGTACATACACTCTGACATCATCAGGTCAAAGATTGATTTTGAAAGGCGAAAAAAATGATATGAAAAGTTGGAAATTGAAAATTGGGGAATTTGAAAAATGTGAGTGTTCAGAGGATCTGGAACTTTTGAAGAATCCCTAATCAAGAAATCCAGAAAAATAAATAGAAATTTAGAAAAAAAAAACTGAAAATCGTGATTTTTCGAATTTCAGAATTTCAAAACTTTAGCAATTTCAAAACTTTACCGAATTTCATAATTCCAGGATTTCAAATTTTCCAAAATTCCAATTTCAGACATTTCTAGATTTTTGATTTTTTTCAAAATTTCAGAATTTCAAAACTTCTGAATTTCAAACTATTAGAATTTCAGAATTTCGAAGTTTTTAGAATTCCAGATTTTCAGAATTTCAAAATTTCAGAATTTCAGATAATTCGGATTTCAGCCATTTCTAGATTTTTAACAAATAATTTCAAATTTTCTGAATTTCAGAATTTTAGAATTTCTTATTTTCAAATTTTCAGAAATTCAGAAATTCAGAAATTCGGAAATTCAGGGACACAGAATTTCGAAATTTCAGGCTTTCAAATTTTCCGAATTTCAAAATTTCCGAATTTCAGAAAATACGGATTTCAGTCATTTCTAGATTTAAAAAAAATAATTCCAGAATTCCAGAGTTTCAGAGTTTCAAAATTTTAGAATTTCAGAATTTCAGAAAAAATTCAAAAAAAAGGCAATTATTATATGAGAAGCGACAAAAAAAAATTAGCATTTTCTTTGCCAATTTTTATAGACACTCAAATTTGAATTTAAAAAAAAATTTTTTTAACCAAAATGCATTAGCAGCAAAATAAATAAAAAAATTTGTGAACCAATCTCTGATGTATGTGAAAGAGTTGCAATCGTTTCTTCAGGCGTCATAGGATGAGGAAGAGAGAGTAGCAACACAAAAAAAGACCGAAAAAAAGAGAAGAGAGAAAAAGAGATGTTAGAGGACAGCACACGCGCTTCCTCTCGCATAGTCTGCGTCTCTTCAATGACTAATACTATCTCGTTGAAGCGAGAGAGTGCACTATTTGATGTGAATCAGGTGGAGACGCGGAGAAAAGAGAGGTGAACAAAACATACACTACTATCACGTGGCGGGTTAGTAAGAATTTTCGCTGGTTGGGAGAAAACTGATAGGGCTGACTAGAGAAAAAATGTTGTTTTTGCAAAAAATATGTAATCCTTTTATATTAATTTCCTCAGTATTCATTTCCGGGGCTTCCTGTATTTATCTAAAAGCTTGTTATTTCGGTTCTGTGTTTTTTACTAGATAGTTTTTTTTTATTTTTCTAGGGATTTTGAATAATGCTCATTATCCTGAATATGGCATTTTCCAAAGCCTTTTTTGAACTTTTTAAAAGTTCGATTTTTTTTAAGTTTGAGCCAATTTATCTCGGTTCCTGTGAAAGATATCAAAAAGTTTTCAACTAACAAAATATTGGTTATATTATGATAAACATTTTATCAGTTGACCACTTTTTGATATCTTTTACAGGAAATGAGATAAATTGGCTCAAAGTTATGGGGCCCTCACTGGGTTCGAACTGTTGAGGTATGCTGTTGCGCTCTATTGAGAAAGTGACGTAGAAAAGTTTTAGGCCTGTGAAAAATGCAATATTTCTTTTTTTTAAATTGCTGTTCCACCTAGAAAATATTTTCTAACGCTCTCGGTGGAGCGTAACAGCATGCCACAATAGTTCGAACCTTGTAAGGGTTACCTAACTTTGAGCCGATTTATCTTGCTTCATGTGAAAGATATCAAAAAAGTGTCAACTGAAAGAATATAGGTGATATTATGATCAGTATTTCATCAGTTTACAAATTTCTGATATCTTTTACAGAAACCGAGATAAATAGAGTTGGAGTTAGAATGATCGTTTATTATAGGTTTCAAAGTTGGAATTAAGCATTGTTCTGGTGCTAAATGGAGTTGCGCAGAAAAAATTTTTATTTTCAAAAAATGAGAAAAACCAAAAAACCCAGAAAATCCAGAAACCAAACAACCCTTTAATATCCTTTTCTTGCGTTTTTGAGCTCAATTATCTTGTTTCCTATGAAAGATATAAAAAACTTGTCCACTGATAAAATGTTGGTCATAATATCATAAACAGTTTGTTAGTTCAACATTTTCTGATATCTTTTACAGGAAACGAGATAAGTGAGCTCAAAGTTAAAGATTTCGAGTCACGAGGAAGCTGGCGACCGCTCCGCCGACACGCGACGCATCCAACATTGGCTCGATGCCAAATTTCAAAACTAGGTTTTCTTCTGCGGTGTCGTTTAACAGTCTAGTTTTACACATTCTAAGACATCGTACAATGACATCATCAACCTCCAAAAAGACCCCTCTTATTACTAATCTTCTCTCCAATATCAAATCGTTCGGAACACGTTTTGTATGGTTTGCGCCTCCAAAATAGTATTGTGTGTGATCTCTGTCATTCTCCGACGACACCATACACACAACGGTCGACCAAAGCGCAAGCTGTTTGTCGGGGAAAAAATGATGGGCGGTTCTTTGATTGTTGATGTGTGTCAGCATCCATTATGGAAAGTGGAGATGGTGATAACGAAACTGGCAGTCAGCACAAATTTTGGAATTCTCAGCGAGAATTGGGGGAAAATGGTATTGTACTTCGCAAAAAAAAAAAACAAATCCTTCAGCTACCAGAAACACGAAATACAGACATTTGAAGTGCCCGAGGTTAGAGACGCAGGCGACGAGACACACTGCGTCTCTAACTTTCTTGTTTAGCATCTACTGGTTCCTCATGGTATTCTACACATTTCTGTCCAAAAATCGTGATTCTGGGTCGTCTAGAAGCCGAGATACAGACGTTTAAAGTTTCCGAGGTTAGAGACGCAGCGTGTCTCGCCGTCTGGCGTCTCTAGCCTCCTAAACTTGGAATGGCTATATCTCGACTTCTAGAAGCGCTAGAAAACTCGTTTTTAAACTGAATTAAAGGAAATTTTGTCTATTTTGTAATCATAAATGGAAAATCTGAGGAAACAGGAAATTTTGAGATAACAGGCCAACGGCGGACCAATGGCGGACGAACGCCAGTCGTGATTTGAGGACCTCCTTAAAAGAGATTCCGAATTTGGGTATTCTTAAAAGAAACAGTACAAAACTACAGTGTATGGATCCAGAATGTTCTAAAGTACACACAATGTCAGGGAGTGTGGGTTAAAGATCACTTTTTCCCCTATTTCTTCTTCTCATTACATTTTTTTTGTTTGTTTGTCTTTCTGTGTCCCACACGTTGTTGATCTACCAAGTTACGTAGGAGAGAGAGAGAGAGCGAAAATATGAGAAGATCTTAGTTTCGGTAGAGCCCCAAGGAGAATTTGTACTTTGGGTGTTAGTATATCTGAAATAGGCTGAAAAGTATTTATTCGTTTTTTTAGAAAAATTAAAACCTCAGAATGATCAAAATTGACGCTCCAAAAAAACAATATCCCTCTAATAGATGCCCACCCAAACTATCAACTTCGAGCTCAATTATTTCGGTTCCTTCGAGAGATGTCAAAATTTTGTCAACTGAAAATATGTTCAGCATAACATTATCAATATTTTATTAATTAATCACTTTTTCATATCTTTTACATAATTGAGATATACGGGCCCAAAGATGAGTCGCTCAGCTGGCGACGGCTACGCCGACATACGCGGCGAATCAACGTTGAGCTCAATTATCTCCATTTCGGTAAAAGATATCAAAAATTAGTCAACTAATAAAATACTGCTCATGTTATGATAAATACTTTATCAGTGAGCAAATTTTTGATATCTCTCACAGCAATCGAGATGAGATGATCCTAAAATTGATGATTTTAGGGAGACACCTTATTAGAGGTTTACAGAACTTGAAGCCAAAAAAATACCCTATTCCTCTAATAGAAGTCTACCCAGACTGTCATCTTTGAGATTAATGATCTCCATTTCTATGAAAGATATCAAAAATTCGTCAACTGATAAAATGTTCAGCATTATATCATCAACATTTTATCAGTGAAACAATTTCTGATATCTCTTATAAGAACCGAGATAAATGACCTAGAAAATCAGTACACTTCAAAGCTTGAAGGTTATTTTGAGGTCCATTTTTTTGAATTAGACTTCATTTCATTAGAACCAGAGGATGCATAAATTTCGAAACTTCCATTGCTTCCCCTTAATTCCAAGAAAAAGAAGATACCTATGATAAAGAATCGTATTATCAAGACTTCAGAAGATGGATTGCCTATCTGATATAAATGGTTCAATCGGTTCATTGTCACGAGGAGAGGACTGCTGCTACTCCAAAAGATTGATTATCCTACGAAAAAAGATAACAGTTTTTGTTTGATAAGAGACATCTCTCTAGTCATACTAAGAACACGTTGCCTGCCTTTATTGAAAATTGGGGTCTGCTATGAAATAAAGATTTTCCAGAGCTTCAAAATGAGCAAAAATACAACCTTTTCTAATCGAAGGACATCCTAACTTTGAGCTCAATTATCTCGAGTCCTGTGAAAGATATCAAAAAGTGGTCAACTGATAAAATGTTTGCCATATTATCACCAATATTTTATCAGTTTACAGATTTTTGATATCTTTTACTGGAACTGAGATATATAAGCTCAAAAACGCAAGCAGAGGGGAGCGTATTACAGTGGTAGCGACCGAGGTTGCCACCGCGTAGCTCAATTATCTCGAGTAATGTAAGAGCTATAAAAAAGCGACTAACTGATAAAACGTTAATCATAATTTCAACAATATTTTGCTAATTGACAACTTTTTGATATCTCTTACAGGAACCGAGATAATTGAGCTCAAAGTTAGGGTACCCAGAAAGTACGCATCAAACTAGCACATGGCTTTTTTTTCAAGAGCTTCGAAATGAGCAAAAATACAGTATTCTGATAAAAGGACACTCAAACTTTGAGCTCAATTATTTCGATTCCTGTGAATGATATCAAAAATTGGTCAGCTGATACAATGTTTTTCATATTATTACCAATCTTTTATCAGTATATAAATTTTTGATATCTTTTACGGCAACGGAGATATATAAGCTCAAAACTGAAGGTTTGACTGAGCTTCTATTAGAAGAAGTACGGTATTTATTCAAATTTCAAAAAAACCTAAAAATTAAAAAAAACATTTTTTACTTGAAAAATCCTAAAATTCTTGAAAATCCTTCGAAAATCGAAAAATCGAAAAATTCAATTTGTATAATGTTTATTGTCTAAATATCAAGAAAAATGCAAAAAATAACAAAATCAAAATCAACAAGAAAAACCTCAAAAAAACAAAAATCAATCTAAAAAATCCTATTTCTCCTGAGTAATCAATTTTCCATTACAAGTAACAATGAGTCTGGCATAGAGCTGCCGCTGAAACAGAGAATGAAGGTGTTCATTGACTCTTCGTCCGATTTCCGAAATCCGTTTTCCTCCTTTTCCAATTACCAATGATCCGTCGCGTGGCTTCTGGCATCGGATCTCTCCGACGATTTGAAGAACCTCTCCTTGCTCTTCCCATTCGGAAATTCGTACTTGTACCGAGTATGCCACGTTAGAAGGCGTTGTGTCGAGGACTGCGGCACGAATCGAGTCGATGCATAGTTGTTGGGCACTCTGTAAACAGGCGGGAATTCAAATTTTAAAGAATTAAAGTTTTAAAAACCTCTCCCGTCGGCATTCCCTGATCCATTTTCCACTCTCCATCCGGCGAGATATTCATCAAATGAGTCCGCAACTCGTCGATTCCCTCTCCACTCAACGAGCTCACAAAAAACACTCGTTCGAATCCCGACCATCCACAAATCGTTCGAAAAAGCGCACGAGTATCGTTGTAGCTACATTTCCAGGTGGGTTTTTGGATGAGCTCTCGAAACTGTGCCTTCCATTTATCGTCTGTTGGTTGGTGGGACGAATTGGGTGACGACGAGGAGAGGGATGTTCCGAGACGACCGATTTGAGCGGGTTTAGTCGTGATTTGTTGATTATTAGCGAGTTGGCCATTGGTTAGGATCTGAAAAGCCAAGCATCTCATCAAAGGACCGACCATGACGTTTCAGAACTTTTCTGCATTTTTGCATAGTGGTTTTTGTACATCAAATGAGCATTGTTCATTTCAATTTATTGTTTTTCTGCTTTTCTATTCGTTCTCATCTACCGTACTCTCCAAATTATAATAGGGTCATACTCCGAAACTCTCAAAAAATATATTTAAAAAATCGAAATTTTCAAAAAACGATGTCTAAAAGTACGCAGAAAAATACGTTCAGTAATGACACCGTTTTCGAAAATTTCGATTTTTTTAGAGTTTCCGAGTATGATTCTATATAATTTGGAGAGTACGGTAGATGAGAACGAATAGAAAAGCAGAAAAACAACAAATTGAAATGAGCAATGCTCATTTGGTGGACAAAAAGCAGTATACAAAAATGCAGAAAAGTTCTGAAACGTCGTGGTTCTGAAACGTCCCGGAGCCACCATGCCACCCTTCGTACCTCAACCAACGGTAACAAATCCGTCCTCCGCATCACCAAATCAATTTTATTCATGACAAGAGTGCTCGGCACATGAGAATATCTATGCAGCATATGAAGTACTCGATGATGAATGTAGGCTCCGGGCGCCGTCGAATCCTGAACCACCAGGATGTGTTGAGCCCTCTGAAGTGCTCGTTCGGGATCTTGAAGTACACGATCACCGCTCGTCGCGCTGGTCCCTTTCATTGTCTGACGAACGTGCGAGGTGCTGACGGCTCCTGGAGAATCGGTGAACACCAGTTGGGTACTGTCTGTGCAGATCGACGCGGAGATGTTCTGGAAATTTCGGAGAAATGCGTTTTTTGTCGACTATTGATGAAAAATTTGAATTCTTACCCTTGTGGTCGTGTCCATTTTACTGCTAACCGCGGATAGTGGACATCTGACTAACGAGTTGGTGAGCAGCGATTTTCCGACGTTCGGCGCGCCGATCACAGCCAATTGAAGGCATTTTGTGAGCGGTTGGGTGGGCGTTTTCTGGAAATTTTAATTTTGAATTTGGCGGGAAATTTGAATTTTTAGGTTATTGAAAAATTCCAATTTTTGAGATCTGGCCAATTCTTCGGATAGATTTTTTTTGGGAAAAGTGGGCGGAGCCTTAATTTTAAGCCTGGTTCAAGCCAATTTTTCTGAAAATACTTATTTTTTCAAACATTTTTTGGAAAGATTTTCAAGATTTTTCTGAAAATCCATATTTAAAACATTTTTCTGAAAATTTTCTTGGAAATTCTAGATTTTCAAGATTTTTCTGAATTTTTCTTTACTGAAAACCAATTTTTCGGGATTTTGCTTAACACTTTGTATTTTTGAATAAGTTTTTCTGAAAATTCCCAAAAAAATTGTTTGCCCACTTCAAAACTAGCCGAAGTGGACGCTGTGGAGAATAGGCGACACGCCACGTGGATTCGCTGAATGAGCATCTGGGAAAATCAAATTGTTCTGGAAAAAAGAGCATTTTTTGACAAAAAAATGAGATAAAAACTGGAAATTTTCCTGGGAAAAATCTACAAAAAAAGGACTTGATAACAATTTTTATATGGAGAAAAATGGATAAAAATCAGCAAAAATATAACAAAAAAGAAACGAAAAAAAGGCAAGATTTCAAGACAAAAAGTGAATATCGGCTTTGTTAAAGGCGAGAAGAAGTGCCAAAAAGTCCTCGACTCGCATTTTTCGGGCTCGATTTTCAGCGTAGCCGGACGCGGTCAACGTCTCCTCGATCAGCTTTTTCATGTTGAAATCCTTGGGGAGGGGCTGGAAATGTTGGAATTTTTGGGTTTTTTGCCGCGAAAATACCGTAAAACCTGAAATAAAAGCACCCCCCTCCCACTGTCAATTTTGAGCTCAATTATCTCGACTCCTATAAGAGATAACAAAAATGTGTCAGCTGATAAAACGTTTGCGATATTATGATACACATTTTATCAGTTGACAACTTTTTGATATCTTTGACAGGAATCTAGATTGATTGGCTCAAAGTTGAATGTTAGGGGGGCCCTTCTATTACAAGTTTTACGGTTGATTAAAAAAAACCTTGTTCTTCATACTGCAAACTTTTCGATAGTTATCCTCGATGACTTCAATCACGTTGGAAAGACGGAAAATCGCCAGGAGAGTCTTGTTTTTTCGCATAAAGCATAGACGGAGGAGTCCTTCCCATTCCTGGAAAATATTCGAAAAAATTGGGATTTGATTGGAAAATCATGAAAAATGACTCAAAAATCACGAAAAATGAAAAAAAAACAACTAAAATTTGTTTAAATTGCCTCAAAAATCGAATTTTTAGTCATGTTGTCGGATTTTAATGAATTTTTAAGTCATTTTTTCGGATTTTTAGACTTTTTAGACGATTTTTAGACGGATTTTTAGATTTTAGTTTTTCATGGATTTTCTGCACAAAATAAGGCAAAAAAGCGGTCCAAACCCCTAAATTTCCCCCCAAGACTAACCACAAAATTCACTGGCGGCGGTGGATTCTTCGGCGCGATCCGGACCACAGCCGAGTCGACTTTTGGCGGTGGACGGAACTCGGTTCGCTTCACTTTCATCAGCATTTCCACTTTGGCTAGCAGCTGAACGTTGACAGACAGTCTACTGTAGTCCTTGTCGCCCGGACGAGCCACCAGACGGTCGGCGAACTCTTTTTGGAACATGAGAACGGCGTATCTTCAGGAAAAATGGGTTTTTAGAGGAAAAATGGGGTTCAAAGGGTCAAAATGTGTGGAAAATCATGTAAAAATTCAAAAAAATCCGAAAATTCCAGTCAAAAACCCAATTTTCTCACCTTGGAAGTGGTCTGTGCAGAAGCAATTTCTGTACGAATGGCGAAGAAATTTGATATGGAAGATTTGCGACGCACACATCAAAAAATGGCCATTCCTGCTTCATGACATCACCTCCGTTGACTTGAAGTTTGGTTTGGAGGGGGCTGAAAAAAATTGTTTTTCAAAAAAAAATTTTTAGTGTTTAAAATCAAAAAAACTCGAAATTTTTTACTTTCTGCTCAAACTTTCGCTATTTTTCAACTACTTACGTTCCCATAACTCTCTTCTTGACCTCAGCAATCATTCTAGGATCGATTTCACATGCGATCACGGTCTTAGCCACTTCCAGCATCTTCACAGTCAAATTTCCTGTTCCCGGACCCACTTCCAGCACTGTATCTGTGGATTTTAATGCTGATTTCTCGACGATTGCGTTCACAACGCCCGGATTTTTCAGAATATGCTGTCCTTTGTCGGTGTTGAATGGCAGGGCTGGAAAAAAATGGAATTTTAATGGGATTTTTAGCAAAATTTCTTACACTGAACATTTCCGGTTGATGTGCCAGCTTTTGTCTTCTTGACTTTGCTCGTTTTTCCCATTTTTTATTCGCTTGAAAATAGGTAAAAATGTGACGAAAAAAAAATAGTTGTCCTCGAGGAGTACACGGACTAGGAAACTCTTTAGAGACTCCTAGTCCGCGCGCCGTATAGTCCTCTCGGACGATTGTGTAATTTTTTCTCAATTTGATTTTTGGCTATTTAATCTCCCAAAAATGGGCACAAAAAGAGCGGGTTATGAAATAAAAAATAACAAAGAAGGTAGGCAAAATTTTTTTAACAGTTTAAAGTACAGTTTTTCAGCTAAAAAGCCAAGAATATTCGATTTCTCCGCACATCCTCGCCGAAAAATTGCCATACAATTTTTCTACCTGGGTTGGGAGCACGATGGACTTGTACAGCAGCCGAACACTCAGAATACTGTGGAACATGTAATTTTCAATGAAAAAAAAAGATAATTTTAGTAAAAAATGATTATAGCATCTCATGGAGGCATTAATAAAGACTCATATCATCGAGGATTCTATAAAATGCGATTTTTCACGATGCGGACGAACGGATAAAGGAGTTTCAGCGTTTAAGCAAACCGCAGCGTTCCTAGCAAGGTTTGAAAATTTGAAAAATTCAAAAAAAAAAATAAAATCCTCAGATCCACCTGCCCCGACCATCCCAACGTTTTCTGGAGTGATTCAACGGCTGAAGACGTCAAAAATAGCTATAAATCAAAGGACGAAGAGCTTCCCTATATAAAAATGTTGAATGGAGTGCTTCCGAAAACCATTCGAGTGTTCGCATGGGCTCCAGTGGCGCCAACATTCAATGCGAGATTTGATTGTAACAGGAGAACCTATAAATACTCATTTCCAAAAGCTGGGCTTGATTTGGAGGTGATTTTTAGTCATTTATAGTGTAAGAAATGTTTTTTTTTTCAGAAAATGCGAGAAGCTGCAAAACTGCTAATTGGTGAGCACGATTATTCGAATTTCTGTCAGATAGACATGAATAAAATGCGTTTGGAGCAGTCGTACACACGAAAAATCTACGATGTCACCGTGGAGCAGGTTTCGACGCATTCTGAGAATGGTAAGGGTGGAATTCTGAAGATCTGAGAATGAAAATCACGAAAATCGGCCCAAAAAACATGAATAATTGATTGAAAAATCATAAAAATCCGAATTTCTGATTTTTTGGAGAATACGAAATTCCTAGATTTTGAAATTCTGAGATTCTGAATTTCTGAGATTCTGTAATTCTGAGATACCGATATTCTGAGGTTCTGAGTTTCTGAAATTTTGAAAGTCCGGAAGTCTGAAATTCTGAAATTCGTGAGTTCTGAAAATCAAAAGTTTCAAAAATCTCAAAATCTGAAGTTCTGAAGATTTGAGAATTCAGAAATTGTGAAAGTCTGGCATCCAAAATTCTGAAATCTAAAATTCTGAACTTTCGAAATTCTCAAGTTCTGAAATTTCGAACATTGATAAATCTGAAAATCTGAAAGTCTGAAATTCTAAATATCCAAAATTCCCAAAAATGGAAGTCCGCAATTCTGAAATTCTGAATATCCGAAACCCTGTAATTTTGAAATTCGTAAGTCTGAGATTCCAAGATTCTGAAATTCAGCAATTTCGAAAGTTTGAACATCTGAAAATCCTAAAAATCCTCTTCCAGATATCTACTCAATGGTAGAACTGACCGTCTCCGGCAGCGGATTCCTCTGGCACATGATTCGCTACATCGTTACCGTACTCCAAGAAGTGGCACGTGGAAATGAGCAGCCTTCGCTGGTTTCAGACCTTCTAGACCTGTCAAAATATCCCAGTCGTCCTCATTACACCCTCTCCTCAGATACCCCGTTGTGTCTATTCGATTGTGGTTATAAGGTACGAAAATACGCATTTTCGTAATGATTTTGGCCAATTTTGGGCTGTTTTAGAAGAATTTGAGGCCAATTTTCATCAATGTGAAACTATTTTTGCCTTATTTCAGCTAGAAAAAACTTGAAAAACCGATTATGAATTCCCATTTTCAGCAAGAAGACGTCCAATGGCACATCCACGACGCCACACTGAAAACTACCGTATCCGGACTGCAAAAATCGTGGGCCACCTACCAGACGAGGTGTCGAATGATGGAAAATATGATAGGAGAGCTGGCTGGAATGACTGAATTGAGTTCAGAAGACGTCCGCAAAGGACTACATGAATTTGTACAGGATCGACCGATTTCGCAGAATTATGTGAAATTTGAGAAGAGAAATAAGTGCGAGAGTTTGGATGCGAAAAAGGCGAAGATTCAGATGAAGAAAGAGGCGAAAATCGAGGAAAATGGAGTTTAAATTCGGATTTTTAGTGAAAAAATCTCGTTTTGAGCTAATTTTGATCCGAAAATCTTAATGTTTGACTCAATTTTGCTGTAAATATCTCCATTTTTGAGTCATTTTCACCGTAAAAAGTCCTGTTTTTGAGCTAATTTTGGCCTGAAAATCTTGATTTTTGAGCCAGTTTGACCAGAAAATCATGATTTTTGAGCTAATTTTACCGTAAAAATCTCGTTTTTGGGCTAATTTTACCGTAAAAATCTCGTTTTTGGGCTAATTTTGACCTCAAAATCATGGATTTTTGAGTCAATTTTGCCGTAAAAATTGCCATTTTCTCCCATTTTTTCTTTAGAAAATACTGATTTTCCCGGAATTTCCAGTTTTTTATTCAATTTTTTTGTTAATTTTTCTGTTATCACTAATCAGTTTTTGTTATTTTTTCAAGAAAAAAAAAACTGTGCCATTCATTTGTCCCCAATTTTCACCCAATTTTTTGGTGTCAAAAACCAAATTTTCTACCTTTCATATATTATTTTTAATGGATTTTCAGCCTTTTCAAACCCAAAAACTCATATTTTAGCTCAAAAAACAATGTCAATAATCAACGATGAGAACGGGAAACCGTACAAAGTGCACTTGTGCAAAACGAACATTGCTCAGAATAATAACAAATTCTACGATATGGAAATGTTGGATAATGGAGGAAGCGGGGCACATCGATTTTCGTGAGTTCAGCCGAAAAATTGAAATCTTTTTTTAGCTCTAAAAAATATGGAATTTTGGATTGAAAAATGCGGAATTTCGGCTCTAAAAACACCGATTTTTGGCTTTAAAAAACTAATTTTCAGCTCAAGAAATACAAAATTTCAGCTTCAAATTGTCGAATTTCGGCTTTAAAAATACTGATTTTTACTCTAGAAACACATAGTTTTTGCTTTAAAATAATGAATTTGGCTTCCACAATAATACAAATTTATCTAAAAAATACGGGTTTTTGTTGCTCTAAAACTATGCAATTTTGGCTCTGAGAATACGAAAATTCGGCTCTAAAAATAAACATTTTTGACTTGAGAAATACGGATTTTCGGCTCGAAAAATATAAAAAATTTGGTTAAAAAGCACTGTTTTTGGCTCTAAAAATACAAAATTTCGGTTTTAAAATCTGGATTTTTGACTTGTAAATATATAGATTTCACACTAAAAGTCGCGACTTTCGGCTCTGAAAATACTGATTTTTGGCTCCAAAAATATGGAATTATTGCCCTAAAATCACTGATTTTTGTCTCTAAAATACAGATTTTTTGGCTTTAAAATACTGATTTTTAGCTATTTTGACCTATTTTCAGCCATTTCTTTCATATTTCCAGTCATTATTTACCTATTTTCAGCCATTCCCCCCCCCCATAAGAAATCAATAATTTTCAGTGTGAAACTGATCAATGGTCGTATCGGCTACCGAGGTGTGACACATTTAAAAGATTTCGGGGATTTGGTCAAAGCAAAATCATTTTTCGAGGCCAAATTCTTCGAAAAAACTCATTTGCACTGGGAAGAGCGTCAGGATGAGCCGGTGCCGAATAAGTATGTCGTCGTGGATTTGATGGATAATAATTCGATGAAAAAAGAAGAAGAAGAAGAAGAAGACGTCAAAAAGGAGGAAGAAGAGGAGGAGGAAGAGAAGAAGCCACAGACAAAAAAGACACGTGGCAGAAAGAAGAAGGCTGAGGAGGAGGTGGAAGTGAAGAAGGAGGAGTCAGAGGAGGAAGAAGCAGAAGACGTGGATCAGAAGGTGAAGGATTTGATGAGATGCATCTGTGATGAAGACGTTCATTTGGGCCTTCTGAAGCAGTTGAAATTCAACGAGGCGTATGGAAAACCTATTGGTGAGAACTGGAATGAGAAAAGCTGGAAAATGACTCAAAAATTATGAAAAATTACCTAAAAATCAGGAAAATTGACCCAAAAATCATGAAAAACGACCCAAAAACTATGAAAAATAACCTAAAAATTGGGACAATTGGTCCAAAAATCATGAAAAATGTCCCAAAAATCATTAAAAATTACCCAAAAATCATGAAAATTGACCCAAAAATCATGAAAATTGACCCAAAAATCATGAAAAAATGACTCAAAAATGATGAAAATTGACCCAAAAATCATGAAAATTGACCCAAAAATCATAAAAATTGACCCAAAAATCATAAAAATTGACCCAAAAGTTCTAAATTTTCAACAATTTCAGACTGCCTCTCACTGGCCCAACTACAGACGGGCTACGATATTTTGGCGACTATCGAGACATCGATTGGTGGCAAAAAAGGTGAGGACAAACAGACAAACAGACAGACAGATTTTCTGAAATTTAAAATATTTTATCTGTGTTCTAAAACTTTTTGGAATTTTCCGTTGAAAAAAAACTTGCAGGTTTCCTAAAATGAGAAAAAATACACTAAGGAAGTAAGTTACACTTTGTGTAGTTTGTAGTTTTTGCAGTCTTTGTAGTCTTGTGAATTTGGTTTTGTAGTATCGTTTTTGGTTTGAAAATCATTGTTTTTTGTTCAAATTTTTAGTTTTTTGAGTTCACGGACATCCGGACAAACCGACACATATCATTTTCAGCCGCCCGATCTGGCACCCGTTCTCGTGCTGCCCCAACGCCTTCAAAAAATCCAGGAGCCTCGACTCACGACACCAACAAGTACTACTCCCTGATTCCTCACTCCTTCGGATTCCAAGTTCCTCCGAAAATCGATACTTTGGCCAAAGTAGAAGCGGAACGAGAGCTTCTAGACGCCTTAAAAGGATCCATAGAGGCGTCGATGGAGGTGAAGGACGTCAAAAAAGAGAAATCCAACAAGGATATCTATCAACGACTCTACGAACGTCTTCCATGTCATCTGGAGCCGGTTTCAGAAGACGTCGCGGGGAAGATAGGGGAGTGTTTGAAGATGAGAGGACCCACACACTTCTTCAAGTTGTCTTATCTGGATGCGTTTGAGTTGAAGAATCCCGAGGAGGCTCCAAAGCCAGCGAAACGAGCCAGAAAGTCTGCTCCATCGACTACCAAACGTCTTCTCTGGCACGGTACACGTGTCACGAACGTCTTCTCGATTCTGATGAACGGTCTCCAGATGCCAGAGGGGGATCGGTGTGGATTGATGTTCGGAAATGGGGTGTATTTTGCGAATGTGCCAACGAAATCGGCGAATTATTGTTGTCCAGAGGTGTCGAAGAGAGTCTTCATGCTTCTTTGTGAGGTAAGATTTTTAAAAATCTCAAATACCGTAAAACCTGTAATAGAAGGGCCGGCCCTTCTATTACTGATGTCAATCTATTACAGGGGGCCCTTCTCTTTTTCCAAACCCCTCCCGTATGGCCCTTCTATTAGAGGCGCCCTTCTAATACAGGTTCTACTGTATATACATTTTTCTCTCCAGGTGGAAACCTCCAACCCACTGGTTCTCTACCAATCCGAACCGGATGCCGACGATATGATGGCCAAGAAAAAGAAGCTATCAGTGTATGCAGCTGGAAAACACCGGCCAACTGAGACTGTGGAGATGTGAGTATGGTGGCCTAAATTATCCAAAATGGCCTAGAAATTTCGAATTTAAAATTTTGAAAAATTTTGAATAAAGTGATTTTTGGGCTAATTTTTAAAAGGAATTTTGAGCCAAATGTGGTTTATAACTCAATGTGTGTCGGTTTGTCCGGATGTCTCAGAACTTAAAAAACCAAAACTTGAACGAAAAAGCTGAAAAACCAAAGACTACAAAGGCTACAAAAACTACAAACTACACAATTTCAACTCTCGTCTGTCTGAACTCCAGAAACCAAAGTTTTGAGGGCCCTCAAATATCGAGAGAAACATTCCCTGGAAAAGTGGGCGGAGCCTAATTTGAGAAGATTGTGATTTAAGCTCCGCCACTAAAATTTTTTCTTAAAAAACCCTAAAAGTTAGGCCATTGTGACCTGGTGGCCTAGAAAATGCAAAAATCTGGAAAATTAGACAATTTTGAGTGGGTGGCCTAGAAATCCTCTTCCCAAGAAACTAGGCTATACTTGTCTTGACGGCCTAGAAATACAAAAATCCAGAAAACGAGGCCACGTTAGATTTGGTGGCCTAGAAATCCCTTAATAAAACTAAGCCATATTTTTCTAGGTGGCCTAGAATACGAAAAGTTAGGTCATGACGGCCTAGGAAACCCTTGAAGTTAGGCCATTGTGATCTGGTGGCCGAGAAACACAACAATTTGGAAAACTAGCCCACAATATGTTTGGTGGCCTAGAAACCACAAAATTTAGGCTACTTTGACCAAGTGGCCTAGAAATTCTCCTCCCAAGAAATTATGCCATCTTTTCTTGGTGGCCTAGAAATACAACACTTTGGAAAACTAGGCCATATTCAATTGGACGGCCTAAAAATACAAAAATCGAAAAAATTAGACCAACATTTTTTTAGTATATGTTCTCGGAAGAATATTGAATTTGGTGGCCTAGAAATCCCAGAAAAAAACTAGACCATCTGTTTCCTGGTGACCTAGACTCCCCAAATTTTCGAAAAATTAGGCCATTTTGAGATGGTGGCCTAGAAACCCCCCATAAAACTAGGCCATCACCTTTTAATTATTTTTTTTTGCAGCAACGAAATTCCAGCATTCAAATCTGGCCTTGAGCAAATCGAGGAGGAAAGTCAGCTACTGTACGATGAGTATGTGATGTTCGACCAGGACAGATTCAAGATCAAATATGTGGTCGAAGTAAAAGTGGAGAAAATCACAGCTGCCGAAATGAGAGGACAATAAGACAAATCTGGCTGAAAATTTGGCTGAAAATCCACATTTTTTAGGCTAAAAATCGGCTGAAAATCACTTTTTCTGTACTTTTTATCCTAATTTTTTCTAAGTATTCTCAATTTTATCCCATGTGTAATTTTTTTCTGATACTCAATCTATACCTCTAAAAACTCATTCCATATCAAATTCGCTCTATTGAGAAAATTTGAAAATTTGATTTTTGATTATTTTCATTATTTTTTTGCTCAAATAAACTCATTTTTCTCCTCATTTTCACCTATTTTTTGATCATTTTTCTATGGGTTTTTGACCCGAATTCTATCTTTTTTGGTTTTTGAATTTTTCTGCAAAAATTCTGAAATTTTCAGAAAATATCTACGATGAGCCGACGAAAGTTGAGAGGTGTAGAATACGATCGGGATTATGTGAATTTCGATGGTAACAATTTGGAATTTCCTGGTTTTCAGCGACGTTTTAGAACTGCGACGTTTTGAAACCACGACATTTTAGAACCGCGACATTTTAGAACCGCGACATTTTAGAACTGCGACGTTTTAGAATCGCACGTTCTAGAACCGCGACGCTTTAGAACCGCAACGTTTCAGAACCGCGACATTTCAGAACTGCTGTTACACGGGCTCTTCAATTAGAAGGGCCCTTCTAATACAGATTTTCCAATTAAATTCTTCCAGACGACACCGAAATCCGTCGTCTAATCGCCACCGTCGAGGAGGTCCATCTAAAGCGACGTGGCGAAAATTGGGCGGCTCAAATGCTCGACGAGTCGGATGTTCAAAAATGGACCGCCGAGTTGGAGCAATATTTTCGAGACTTCGGAGCACCGGATGGCTGCTCACGCGCCGCCGCCGTTGATTATGTGCTCAGTGCTGCGGTTGAGAAGATTTATGAGCAAAAGGGTACGGTAGAGATGGACTAGAAATGGCCAAAAAGTTTGGTGGCCTAGTTTTCCCAACTTTTGTGTTTCTAGGCCACCACTTCAAAATGGCTGACCTAGTTTTTCTAATACTTCTAGGCCACTGAAATGGCCTAATTCATTTCTAGGCCACCAAATCTGTCATGGCCTAACTTTCCCAATTCTATGCCAATTTTCAATTTGCAGGCGGTGACGACGAACTCTCATCTGCTCGTCTCAAATCGGAAGTGGAAAAAGTTCTAGAAGCACACAAAGATTCACAAAATCCACTGAATCGCCTGGACTGTACGTGGTTTTTAGGCTTTTTAGGCCTTTTTAGGCCTAAAAAGGCCTGAAAATTCAAAAAAAATCGACAGACACATCTCCAAAATTCTTGCAGACACATCCCCGAAATTCGCTGAAAACGCTCGTGCTCTGTGCTCGATTCTCGGCATCTCGGCACATCATCCGGATCCGAAGATTCTGATGAAGGCGGCGTGTCTCTATATTTCAGAGAATCTGTCAGAAGACGTCATTGCTGAGGAGACAGAGGAGGTGTTGAAGAAGAAGGTGTGGATTCTGGAATTATGAAATTCTGAGATCCTGAGATTCTGAAATTCGGAGATTCGGAGATCTTGAGATTCTCAAGATTTGAAATTCTAGAAATCTGAAATTCTGAGATTCTGAAATTCTGGAATACTGAAATTCGGAGATTCTGAAATTCTGAGATTCCGAAATTCTGAGATTCCGAAATTCTGAGATTCTGAAATTCTAAGATTAAGAAATTCTGGAAATCCGAAAATCTGAAATTCAGAATTTTCGAAAATAACAATTCTGAGAATCTGAAATTCCAAAGTTCTGATAATTCGACATTCAGAAATTTGGAAATTTCGAAATACTGAAAATATTGAATTCAGAAATTATAAAAATCTGAATTTCTGAAAATCTGAAATTTAGAAAATCTGAAATCCAATTTTTCCAGAAACTTCTCGACATCAAGGATTTCCCAATCGGAATGGTGGCTCCGAAAAATGGGGCCGTCCATTTTTCGGCACGCCTTCTTCGTCTAATCTCTCTGAAACAGCTGAGAGATGTTTCCAAAATGGTAAGTGAACGACATCCGGATTTTTCTTAATCGGAGATAGCAATTTTCCGAAAATTCGTGGGAAATGACCCAAAAATCATGACAAATGGCATAAAAATATGGAAAAAAATGACCCAAAAATCATGGAAAATTTGAAGAAATTTTTTTTCAAAAATTTGGATTTCCCTTGATTTCTCTATGATTTTCAAACTGAACTCTGATTTAGAACTTTGATTTGAAACCCTAAAATTCCAAAAAAAATTTATTCCAGACATAGATTTCTTCAAAATTGTCTGGAAATTTTTTCTGCCCTTTTTAGACCTAGACACATCAATCAGTGAAAAGGAAACCCCTTATTTTTTGCACTTTTGATCTTTTAAATTTCAGATTTTTCTATTTAGAAAAAAACTGAGAATAGTTGCCATGGGAACAGTCACAGCACACGCTTCACCAGATTTATAGATTTTCCCTAAGCTCCGCCCACTTTTTTTTCGTGTCTCGTTCTCTTCATAAAAAAGGATGAGCAGATGTTTAGCAAGACGAGCTCGGCTCACAATTTTATCCCCTTTTTTCAGTTTATTTGAAGCGATTCTCAATTTTTTGGCCTAAAACGATTCAAAACTCTGAAATTCTTTGAAAAACAATCTGAAAACCACAAAAATTTGGGGTTTTGAAAGTAAAAATTCTCAAAAATTTAAGTATTTTGACTTCAAAATTCGACAATTTTCGGAATTTTAGAATTTAAAAGTTTTGAAAGAATTTTTATTGGAATTTTAATTTCTGGAATTTTTTCAAAATTTTGGTGTTTTTGGAATTTTTTTTAGAATATTTGGAAATTTCTGAAAATTTTGGAATTTTCGGAATTTTTCGAAATTTTTGGGATTTTTAATTTTTGGAATTTTCTGACTTTTTTGGAATTTTTGAAAATGTTCGGATTTTTTAAAATTTTGGAAATCTCTCCAATATCGACCCTTATCAACCATTTTCAGATCAATGAAACACTGGTGGAAATTCAAAATTTGACGATGGACATGTCGAAAAAAGCGAATTACGAACAGGTGCAATACGGACATTAATTTCTCTTTTTTTTCAATTTTCACTTGATTTTTCATTATTTTTGCTTTTAAATTATTTTCCCACACCGGTTTTGTACCTAAAAATGTGATTTTTTTTTTCAAAAAAATTGAGAATTTCGTTGTTTTTCTTGCCGTTCTTCCTCGCTAAAGTTATACTTTTGACCTCTTTTAACAGAAATTTTCAGCAACAAATAGAAAAAAAAATCTGAAAAAAATGGCTCAGATAATCAGTATGGCGACTCCGGAGACTCGGCACAAGCCAAATATTCTGATCACCGGATCGCCTGGAACCGGAAAATCGACATTGTCTCAGCAGGTCGCCGAGAAATTGGGTTTTGAGTTCATTGAGGTAGGTTTTTTTATTTTTTCAGATTTTTAAATCAGTTTTTTGAAAATCGGTTTTTCCGGCTCATAATTAATTTTGAGCTGAAAATTAGAAAAACAATTTTCGATGGCCTAGAAAATCTAAAAACTCGGCCATGCACAAAACTTTTCGCCGCTTTTCAAATTTAAGATGAATGGGTTAAAAATTAGCCAAAAGTCGAAAACAAAAATCTTCGATGGCCGAATTTAAGAATTTTCTAGGCCACGAACTACAAAAACTACAAAAAATCAGCTAATTTCCTTGAAATTTGACGTGATTGTGCCTGCAGAAAAATATCTACAGTAAAAACTACAAAAGAAAATTAGCTGCTACAGTAACCTATAGTAATCTTCGCGAACAAATTTCAGACAAAAAAATGGGGGAAAATCGAAAAAGAATCTTCAAAAATAGAAATAGCTGAAAACCCTAAAATGTCTAAAAATTTCGCTGAAAAATCAATTTTTCCTCTCGAAAATTCGTTTTTTTTTCAAATTTTGACTTCAAAAACTACAAAAACATCTGAATTTTTGAGCTCCAAAAGAGCCAGAAAAGTAATTTTTCCAATTCAAAATATGAAAAAAAAAATCGAAAACTGCTATTTTTTAATTCCAGATCAGCAAAGAAGTGCGGGAGAACAATCTGCAAGGCGAATTCGATGAGCAATACAGTTGCCACGTGTTGGATGAGGATAAGCTGTTGGATCACATTTCGGACCGGATGGATAGTGATGATGGAGGCATCGTTGTCGACTATCATGGATGCGATTTGTTCCCGGAGAGGTGCGGGAATTAGAAGAAATTTTGAAAAAAAAAAGCATTAAAATTGACCAAAACATTTTTAAAAAATGGTCAAACATCCCACAAAATTGACCCAAAAATTCAAAAAATTCGAACTCGAAAATCTAAAAAAAGCTTCAAAACTGACTAAACATTTCTCAAAAATGGTCAAAAAGCTAAAAAATGGCCCTCAAAATCCAAAAAATCGATCTGAAATCCTTCAAAAATGATCCGAAAAAATTATAAAATCTTTCGTTCGAATTTTTTTTAATTTGTGAAAAAAGCTTCAAACTCGACCAAAAAATCCTTCAGAAAGATCTGAAAATCCAAAAAAATTATGCAACTTTTTTCAAAAAAATCCAATTTTCAAAATTTCTAAAATTCCGAAAAATTTTCGAAAATTCCAGATGGTTCGACGTCGTCGTCGTTCTTCGATGCGCCACCGAGAAGCTCTACGATCGTCTCCAATCACGCGGATACTCGAAATTCAAAATTAAGGAAAACGTGGAATGCGAGATCTTCGGAACCCTGCTGGAGGAGGCCAAAGAGTCGTACAAGTACGGAAAATGACTTGAAAATTTAGATTTTTAGGGATTTTTAAGAGAAAAATTCAGATTTTTGACAGACAATCGCATTTTTAGACCCCAAAACTCTATTCTTGAAAATGAGAATTCTGGAATTTTAAACTCTATTTTCAAAATAAATTTGAAAGAAAAAATTCAAAAAAATGCCGATTTTGGAACTAGGAATTGTGGAATTTCAGCTGTAAATCAGTGATTTCTGGCTGAAATTTGGTGATTTTTTCAGCCAAAAAATGTCCAAAAAATCGATATTTCAGGGAAGAAATCGTGCATGAGCTCCAATCGGAAACCCCAGATCAAATGGAAGAGAATTTGGACAGAATCTGCGAATGGGCGGCCGCATTCAAAAACTCGGGTGGCCAAGGGCCACAGAGCGATGAGATGGATCAGTGATTCTGCTACTTTTTTTCCTTTTTCTTGTTAAAAATTTAAAATTTTTTTTCCAAAATTCGTTGTTGTGCTTGTTCTCTGTTCTGTCCTTTTTTCTTTTCTTTCTGTTGCAAAAAAATATTTTTGTTCAAAAATATTTTTCTGAATTTTTTCAATAATTGGTATTTTCTACCTATTAATGTTATCTGAATTTCTGATTTTTTTCAAATGTTTGAGCTGAAAAATTACTTTTAGACAAAAAGAGAAAAAAATGAGTCAAGTTTGGTCGAAAATCCGCTACGGTGTTCGCTGGAATCCAGCCGAGCGGCTGGCGCTCGCAACGAGAGCGTTGAATTTGCAGAAGGTGAAAATTTTTGAAATTTTGAAAATATCTGAAAAAGCTATTCCAAAATTTTAAAAAAATTTATTTTCAATTTTTAGAATAAATTTTTTTTCCGGAAATTTAAAAACCTTGAAAAAAAGTTACGAATTAATGAAAATTTGTTTTGAGATTTGTGAAAAATCTGTAACAATTTCCGGAATTTTTTAATCAAACTTTCAAAAATTTTGAAAAAATTCCGGAAATTTCTGAAAATTCGAAAAAAAATTCTTTAAAAATTTCAAAACAATTTTTTTCCAAAACTTTTGATAATTTTGGAAACAAAATTTCCCAAATTTTCGAAAAAAAATTCCAAAAATTCCAGAAATTATTAATTTTTTTAGGTAAAATCGATCGACATCTCGATGGACCCACTTCATCACGATAATCTCTCGATTCGCACGTTTTGGCACTCGATAATGGCGCCAAAAGTGCGTCTGACGAACCCAAATGTTCGTGTCAAGACCGAAATTCGCAACGATCGACGCGGCCCATTCTTTGTGACCACTTTAGGTGGGAAAATCTATTTTTATGAAAAAAAATTATTTAAAAAAAAAATTATTAAAGAAATTTCCAGACGACGGCTCAAAACTGCACATCTCCACTGAAAACATGACTGCGATGGATGTGATCATGAACTTCAATCGGCTAACCGGACAGCCAGAACTCGGAAAAGCCGGAACTCGTCCGAGAGCGAAAATTTAAATTTTTTGTTGATTTTTCCATTGTTTTTAAGTTTTTTAGCTAGATTTTTGCAGTAAAAGTGTTTAAGATTCTACTTTCGACAGCTTTCACCGCAAAAAGCTGGAAATTTGGCTGAAATTCGGTAAAAATCCAGTGAAAATCGGATAAGATTTCATGCGCGGTGTCTACAGTAATCAAAGGCGCAGGCCTAGAATGCATCGTTGGGCTTCACCACGATCATCAAGTTTTGGGTTTTTTGGGGCTTTCTTGACTATTTTTCGGGTTTTTTTTGACAATACAAGCATTTTTCGAAAACTTTTACGAGTTTTTCACAGTTTTAGTTAGAAAAACATAAACTTTTCGCGAAAAAAATGTTAAAAACTCCCACATAAAATTTCAGAAAAATTCGGAAAAAAAATGACTCCCCATCAGCTGAACACAGCAGCAATAGGCCTCTTGCTGCATCTTGAGAACACAGTTAGCCTTACTTTCCGGAAAATAAAATTCTAAAGACCTCAAATTTTGCAGGTTCCCTCGAAAAATGAACATCTCCAAGAGCTCCATTGGGATCTTCAAAAATTCCACAAAGACCATATGCAGTCATCCGTAATGCGGGCCCGTAAAAATCGATATATCGACTTGATTCGAGATTTTTTGAAATCCGAAGACCTAAAAAAGAATTTCCCGCCGGGAATCTTCGTGGATCGTCTAGTGGTCTTTGGAAGTTTTGCGACGCATTGCGCTTCGAAATTCAGCGATCTAGACCTGTGTGTCTGTATGAGATATAACGGATTTTGCGATCCGAATCGAAAACCGTAACATTTAATCGATGTTTGCCAAAAAAAATCAATATTTCCCTTCAGACCGCCTATCTGGGCTCTCCGCTCGATTCACTATCATCTGATTCATCACCGCAGAACTCTTTCCGAAAAATTCGATGGAGCGAAAATCGAAGATGTTGAATTCATCTCGAACGCCAAAGTTCCAATTCTTCGATTCAAAATTGATGGGGTTCCTGTCGATTTGAGCGCCTCGTTCAGTGATCGTCCGCCGAAATCTTGTTTGGCAGCGAAATTGATTAACGCTTATTGCCAGTAAGCAGAAAATTCGATAAAAATAGCGAAACATTTGAAAAAAAACTTCGATGGCCTAGAAAATCGAAGAACTCGGCCATGCAGCCATCTGACCTAGTTTTAATGTGTCAAGATGGAAGGATTACTGTAGCTCAGAATGGAGATACCGTAGCTCACCTAGAATACTGTAGGCTACAGTCTGTAGCTCAAAATGAGGATACTATAGTCTATAATGGGGATACTGTGGCTAGAAATGGGGATTACTGTAGCTCAAAATAAGGAAGTTGTGGCTTGAAATGTGGATACTGTAATCCATAATTGGGGTACTGTGGCTTTCACCTCGGAATACTGTAGCTCAAAATAGAAAACTGGGAATTTTCGAGAAAAATTCGCGGCGATTTTTATCCATTTTTTCGCGAAATTTTTAGACCTGTTTAGGTTTTCCAGCTATTTTTGAAGATTCTTTTTCGACTTTTTTTCGGTTTTTTTTGCCTGAAAATTGACGGTATGATATTCGATGATTACTGTAGATTACTGTAGCAGCAAATTTCTTTGCAGTAGGTTTTTTTTGAAATCACGTCAAATCGCAAAAAACAAGGAAATCAGCTGCTACAGTAATCTACAGTAATCTTCACGAACGCCGTCCCATCAAATTTCAGACAAAAAAACAAAAAAAAAAGCGAAAAAGGATCCTCAAAAATAGCAGAAAAACCGAAAAAGGTCTGAAAATTTCGCGCAAAAAATGGAGAAAAGTCGCCGCGAATTTTTCTCGAAAAATTCCCAGTTTGCCATTTTGAGCTACAGTATCCCGAGGTGAAAGCCACAGTATCCCAATTATGGATTACAGTATCCACATTTCAAGCCACAGTTTCCTTATTTTGAGCTACAGTAATCTCCATTTTAAGCCACAGTATCCCAATTCTGGACTAAATTATCCCCATTTTGAGCTACAGTCTGTAACCTACAGTATTCTAGGTGAGCTACGGTATCTCCATTCCGAGCTACAGTAATCCCCAATTTTGAGCTACAGTAATCCCCATTTCTAGTCACAGTATCCCAATTTCGGACTAAAGTTTCCCCATTTTGAGCTACAGACTGTAACCTACAGTATTCTAGGTGAGCTACCATATCTCCATTCCGAGCTACAGTAATCCCCAATTTCTAGACTACAAAAACTACAAAAAGCCCCAAATTTCCAGACTCGACGATCGCTTCGCCATCCTCGTCACTTTTCTGAAAATGTGGCTGAAATCTGAGGGGGATCCAGTCGATCACTTGAAAGATTTCCCCAATTCGTAAGGCGCTGAATATTCTGAATTTTTTAGAATTCCTGCCTTTTCCAGCTACTCATTTATCCTTCTACTGATCCATGTGCTCCAGTGGTACCGTATCGTTCCGAATCTCTACCAAACCCACGCCTACTTGTTCAATCATCATAAAGCCACGTCTTGGGATGACGTGAATTTGGAATCTGACGAATTCTGGATGCCATTAGATCAGAAAAGTGCGTAGTGGCCGAGTTTTTAAAATATCTAGGCCACCGAATTTTTGAAAAAAATTTCCCCAATCATGGCCTAGAATTCCAAAACTAGGCCACTAGAAAAAAATTTTACAGCCATCATCTGCCATCAACAGAGACCATCGAAACATCTGACCGTCGTGCAGCTTTTGTACCTTTTCGGCACTCAGTACACGACGAAAAACAGACTAGATGAGTACAGTTTTAATATGAAAACTGGCGCTCTGCAGTTGAAAAAATCGAGGTAAAATTGATAAATTATTGATTTTTTGGAAGAAAACATTGGGTTTCCCCACATTTTCTACCCCTGGAAGCGACTTTTTCGACTCGAAATCTCGAAAATCACATTTTTCACGCTTTTAGGGTTACGGTAGCCTCAATTGCCCGCAAACACCATCCCGATGCACAGGATCTTACGACGAAATGCAGAAAAATTGAATTTTCGCAGTAAAAAGTCAATTTTGCGGTAGAAAGTTCGGAAAACTCGAATTTTCTATCAATTTTTAGTCAAAAAACCCGAAAATTACAGAGAATATTCACTATCGATCATTGACATCTACGACGAGAACAATCCGGGTAGAAGTGCACGCGACACTGAGTATCTGGTGGAGGCGCTGAGGTTCGTGGCTTCTGTTGGCCTAGAAAATTCTAGGCCATTTCTTATTTTCAGGCTTCTGACACGCACAATAACTGATCCACGTCATGGCATGCTCCAATCAATTTTAGAGATCACTTCACAACAGCTGTATGAAGATCCGGAAAGGTTAGTGGCCTAGAAATCCCTCATGGCCTAGTTTTTTAAAAAATATTTCTAGGCCATCTATTCTTGCACCCGATCCTACAGAAACCACACAAAAAACATGCATCAAGATGATTCGAGAAGTAATCAATACCACAATTTCCGAGGACATCAAAACGGACTATTTTGTGGACATTTTGACTTGGGAACCGGCTGAAAATATTCTGGAAATTTCGGCGAAAATTCGATGTGATACGAGACGAGTGGTGGAGCTGTTCAATGGACCAAAATCGACGGAAATCCAAAAACTAGCCGAGGAAAGTTTGCAGAAACTCTTCGAGCTGGAATTGGATCTTAAATTGATTGTGTGCTTTCAGGATGACTGATTTGTATCGATTTTCTGTTTTTCTTTGTCATTTGTCATTTGTTTTAATTAAGTTTTAATAAATCTTTAATTTCAAAACTTTTGAATTTTCGGTCTGTTTGAAAAATTACCGAAGTCCTAGAAAATTCAAAAATACAGTAATCCCAGAAAAATTAAAAAAAAACACTATCATCCTAGAATATTCAAAAGTACCGAAACTCTAAAAATTCGCTAATTCTAGAAAATGCAACAAATACCGTAATCCTAGAAAATTAAAATAAATTCCGTAATCCTGGAAAAATTCCAAATACCGTAATCCGAGCAAGTTTAGCAATACCGTAGTCTTGAAAAATTTAAAAAATACAGTAGTTATCCCATAAAATTGAAAAATACCGTAATCCTAGAAATATCAAGATACCGTATTTATAGAAAATTCAAAATTACAGTAATCTCAGAAAATTCAAAAATACCGTAATCTTAGAAATTTCAAATTTGATCTCTTCTGATAATTCATATACTTGAGGATGTGCGAAAAAGGGGCGGAGCTTTGCATAGTAAAATTATTTGAGAAAAACCATAAATTGAAATCCTTATTCAAAAAATTGGAAAAAAAAATTTAAATTGCTCAAAATGTAAAAACTTTCTTATTCTCTTTTCCTTCCGAAAAAATACTCAAACCCCCGCACCGCCTAATTACAGTATTCCATTCTTCCCATACACTGTCAATTATAAAACGGTATGGCCAGGAGAAAAAGAAAGGAAAATGTAGGTCAAATATGGAGAAAAGGTGAAAGGAACTTTTTCTTTTCAATCAAAAAGTTTCACTTCTTCACAGGATGAGAATAACTCAATCACTTTTCCATTCGAAACGTTTTGAAGTTTTAGGATTGTTTTGGGATTTTGGAATTTTTGGTAGTTTGAGAAATTTAGGATTTCAAAGAATTTTCGGACATTTCCGGACACTTTGAGTTTTTGGATATATTTTTGAACTTTCAATTTTCAATGAAAATTTGGATTTTTTTGAATTTCGGAATTTTTAGAATCAAATTTTTAGAAATTTTTTCTAATTCCTAAATTTTCGTATTTTTGGGGTTTATTTTTGAATTTGTGAAGTTTCAAAAATTTCAGAATTTTGCGAATTTTAGAATTTTAAGAATTTTAGAATTTTTGGATGTAAAAATTTTTTCGGATGGTTCATTTTTCGGAATTATCAATTAAAATATGAATTATAAATTCAAGTTTTCGAATTTTTAGAAAGTTACTTTAAGAAATTTCAATTTTAGAAATTTTAAAATTGTACTACTTCCGAAGTTTTGAAATTTTCTAAATTTTAGGATTTTAGGATTTTAAGGATTTCTGCATTTTTGGGTTTTAGAATTTCAAAATTCTCAAAAATTCTTGAATTTTGCAAGTTCCTGTAACTTGTTTTAGGTGATAAAAAATACAAAGAGAAGATAAGAAAAAAAGGAAAAGGTAATTGTACTTTCTGTCTTCAACCACTTTTCTAATTGATCAGGTTTTTGGCCCGAAGTTTTTAAAAATCGATTTTCTCTGAATTTTCAGAATTCCTTTCCTAATGAACTTGATTTTTTTGTCCTTTTTGAACGTTGTTTTTCAAAAAACCACCAAAATTTCAAAAATATGTTTTTTTTTCGAAATTTTCCAATAGAAGGGCCCTCAAACTTCCACCTTTGAGCCTATACACCGCGATTCCTGTGAAAGATATCAGAATGTGTCAACTGATAAAACGTTACTCGTAAAATGACAAAATTTTTACAGTTGACAGATTTTTGATATCATCTGAAGGAACCGAGATAAATTGTCTTAAAATTGACAGTCTGGGGGGCCCTTCTATTACAGGTTTTACGGTATAAATAGTTTTTTTTCTATAAATCTTCAGATAGATTTCAAGTGTATGAAGTATTTAAGTAGACTTTTCACATATAAGAAACTCGTCTTTTTCTCTCTAAAAACACTTTAAAAACTGCCAATAGACACTTGGGTTCAAGCGAGGGGGTCAGAAATCGCGCCCCAGCAAACTCGTAGGCCAGAAGAAATTTAATAATTTTAAATGAACGCGGGTTTGAACTAGATCATGATCTACTTCTTAAAAATCAACGGGTTGCAACGCGCGTATTCTCGCTCATCGTTTAAAACTGTGATACTCAGCCAACGAAGTTCGGCAGCGAATTGAGAATTTTTGAAAAATTTACTGGGGCGCGCTTTCTGACCCCCTCGCTTGA